TAAGAGTGGCATCAGCATGGATTCTGCATTCCAGTCTTGCTGGCTGTACTCAAACCTCATAAGGAAGACTTTGAAGATAAAAAGGATGTTCAAAGGCTTCTAAGATATTTTCAGATAAATCACTAACTAACTGAATTATACTAATGACTTAGTACTGCATATTTTAGCATAATCCTGCACCAATGGATTGCCCCAGTTTTGTGCTGATGCCCAACTCTGCTTAGGATCAGCTAAAAAATCAGAAAAAAATTATTTCTGAATTTCATATTTCTCTTCATTGTCTTCCTCAGGTCAAAGGCTTTTTCTACCACAACCAGGGTTTTTCAACTCATTGTTTATTTCCTTTGTTATACCAGTTATACCATTGTTATAAGCAGTTTCATGTTCTGGTGCACACATCCGTATTTGTGTATCTGGTAGTGTTGCATAATGTTCTTTGTGTTATTTAAAGTCTATAACTTTTTAGAAACTTCTGTTTCATCTATTAGCATTAAGCTGTTAAACTGTATTTTCATAATGATTTTTTTTCCTTCTGTTTTTTTGTTGTTGTTTGTTTTTTTGTTTTTGTTTTTCTGTTATTTTGCATCCTGGCACAGCAAGTTACCATTTCTGACTTCACCTATTCTTAAAGGTTGTTGATTTTTTTCTATTTGTGATAGCTGAGCAATGTCATTGTTCAGCTTTAATGTTTGCTTTCGTATTCTCTTCAAAGATTCAGGAGTAAGGTTGCCATGTGGTAAATGCTATGGAAAACTGAGCTCCTGTTCACAAGCAATTTTTCAATTTCATATATATTTTTTTCATCTGAATACTTTTTTTTTTTTTAATCTCCATCTTATTTTCCAGCTTGTAGACCTGAGACTAGGATTCCCATCTCTGTTAAATCTGCTTGTAGAATAAGTAAAAAGTATCAACGCTCTTTCAGAACCGGAGCTAGGAATTACTTGGGGAATAGGAGGCACTAGGTTGAAGCAAAGGGAGGGAACTATCCTTCTAAACATAGTGAGATCTCTGTGTTGATAAATGCCCTAAAGCGTGCATGAACCTTCCACTCCGTGGCATCATGCTGGTGTTGGCAGGCACGCAGCTTGTAGTCATTTGCAATGGAAGATACTTGTGAAATGGAAAGCCTAATTGGTAGTAAATATGGAACATCTCATTATATTTTGAATTATTTTTTTAGCATTTGCCCAAAATAGAGAGAATCACTGTAAAATTACATAGTATTTATTCTGCTGTTGGCCTGAAGTGAGTAGGTATCTCATGGCTGGCTTCTGAATTGAGCTCCTTCATGCAATCCCAAGAAGCAAGAATCCAAAGTTGTCAACAACAAGGCATGAAAGCACTGTGAAAACATTATCCTAAGTGTAAACATACTCGTGATTAAGTTCTGTCCAGGAATAAATTCCAGGTGTGCAACATGTATCTTTTCATAGTTAATCTGTACAACATGCACACTTTAGCATGGGGCTTCCTTTCCTGTTTGCTTTTGGCTATTAATCTCAGAACAAGCTGTGCATAGGTGTTAGGTCTCCTTGCAAAAATTTACCTTATCCAAGGTGGCATCTCATGTATGCTGGTATTGGCAAGCAAATACATACTGTTCTGAAAGAACTCATCAAATAGGAACATGTTAGTTTACAGGTTTAATCCATATGATATTTATTGGCAGTCATACAGGCAATGACAGGCAGCCAACACACTATTCACTAGACTTTTCCACCCATCTGTTTATCCATCTGTTACTTGAAAAATAGATTGCTTTCTTTTTTTCCCCAAAAAAGCATTATTCTAGGAGGCCAGTGAGATAAAGATACCTTGATGTATTGAGTCCACCATAGCAGGTCTATCTGAAACACCCAGCAGTATCTTGAAGTGAAATAAATGGCCCATCTCCAGTCCCCAGCACATATAAACTTGCTTTTGTATACCACTAGAATAAACTCAAAATGGACAAGCTGGGCATCCTATTTTGTGGGTGTGAGGAGACAGAAGATGGCTTTTTGACTGTGTTCTGGAGTTGTACACTGCAGAGCACATGCTGGCTAGTTAAGATCAGAGTGCTCTGGGAAAAAAGAGTAATCTAATCTTTAATCAGAATGGCAATATTAACTTGTGCACTGTGTTGGCATAGTAAGAACACCTCCAAAAGAGAATGAGCTTATTAAATTTCAGTCAGGTGCTTAAAAACATCATTAATATTATGCTTACGCTTCTGAGTACTGCCATCTCATTGTTTTAAAATATGTTTTTGCTCAAAAATTATAAACATATTTTTGAGGGAAAAAGTTTTTTTAAGTGTGAATATATATTTTTAAATATAAACAATTTAAAAAAGCAATGCAGAAATTCTCCAGCTTCAAAGCTTCAACTTTTCGAAGCTTTGCAAACAGCCACATACCAGAAATATTACTGGAATCACAGAACTGTAGAAAATTACTTATGCAGTTTCCAATGGGAAAGTCCTTTATTGTTTTGAATTTCTGTGTAAAATGAGTGTCAAAATGGAGAAATCTCAGAATCAGAAGAAATTTCAGATACTTGTTGTGTAATTGTGCTGATGAAGAAAGCTTGCCTTGTCGTATAGTTACAACATCCCCAGTTTTGGGAATATGACAAATGTCCATTATAGGATTTAATTTCTGGTTGATGGATTATCTGATTCACATCCTTTGCCCTGTAAATGCCTTAGTGGTGGATCTAATCTGATTTGTTTCTGCAACGTGGTGGTCCAGATATGGAATCAATGATAGTGTTTGGCAAACTTTTCTGTTGGGAGATCTGCTTTCATTTTGGTAACATTTTTAGCCTAAGAAATGAGTAAGCTGATAAAGATGTCGATAAATATTTTCCGGAATATTAGGTGATAAAGACTTGTGCCTAAAAATACAAAGCCCAAGAAACTCTGGTGGATATTTCCCCCAGTTGAAAGACAGTTAGAAATGGCTTGTTCAAGAAGGCTGGAGCACGAGACCATCTTTTCTCCAGTGTTATTGTGCTGTCTGCCCTACAGAGGGAGTGAAAGGAGCCTGTTCCTTTTAGGAATATTTACCTATCAACATAGAGAAGAACCAGAGAACAACAGGAGGTGCTGCTTATTTTTTTCTTCTGATTTTTCTGTATGCTTTTCTACTTGGAGTGGGAAGGTTTCAGCAAATGTAAATGTAAATGTAGCTGACAGCTAAGTAAGGATATTGTTAGTATTTGTCCAACAGGCAAGCAACTTGCAAGCATGATTTTTTTCCTTCAATTTAATTTATTTGAAAGCATTAAAAATAATTTACCAAATTGGATCTATTTTTAACATTTCCTAAGGGAGTTTATTCACAGATTTCACAATTATACGTAATCTCATTAGAAGGCTAAGGTACTTTAGGATTTTCCCCCTGACTATTAGCAGTAAGATTGTTTGTAGCTCAGTGCAGAATGGGCCATTCAGTGAAAAAAGAACTTGAAAAAGGATTCTTAATCAGAAAATTGCATCCTATCTTCTATAACAAAGAACCGATAGTATAAAAGAAAAATAGGAAGCAAATATAAAACAAAATAACTGTTTTTTGTTGCTGTTGCTCTCACATGGGCTAGGTAGGCTACTGAAAATAACCCCCAAAACATAATTTATGAAGATAGTGCTCATTTTTCTTGAAAGTAATCAGTAAATTCATAATTTTAAGCTTTTATAATTCCATGCCTTGCAAAAATGCTTTGAGGGTATTAAAAGTACCCTCACGTGTACAATGTGGTATGGAAATAATGAAGTATACTAATGTGGAAAGCTTTTGGGAGAATCTTCAAGGAAAGACTTCCCTGGCATACATTTAAGTCTGTAAGCTAATTTAATTAATGCAAGGAAACAATTTGCGTATTTTTCTCCAGAGAAAGAAAACCCTATGGAATAAAAATATGAACGCATATGGTAGATGAACTAAAGTCACATGGGAATTTACATGAATTTTCTGTTCCCCATGCTGATGTTCTGGGTTTGCAACGCACGCAAAGTGACTTAATCCACCTGAAAGAGACTGCTTCTGTCTGATTTGCTCAGTTAGGCCCAAAAGGCTCAGAAATCTCATGCTTACTGTGAGCCAAGAGTGATTAAAGAGTAACTTATGTGGACTTGCTCCGTACATTGATATCCTATAGTCTAGACCACAAGCCCTCAGCTTTTCCGCCTTTGTGAGGGTTTCTTAATTCCCAGAAATTACTCATAGAAAGGTGTAAGCAGGGAAGCATAATGATTTGATGGCACTTCAGTGTTCTGTGAAAAACAATATACCTCAATCGCTGCATAGCAGAGAGAACACGAAATGTGTTTGTATTCATTGAGGACTCCTCCTTTGAATGCTGTTACAGTTTGACTGTAATGGAGTGCGTGTGCGTGTTCCACGTCATGCATGAGTAGTGCTCATCAACAGGCTGTTCTAAGGCTTTGAAAGCTACAGCAGATAACCTGTGGTGGGATCTGATCTCATTACAGATTACTGCGTGTCTGTTAATTACCATAATTTTGTGTCCTTGAGATGATGTGTCCACTGCACTGATTTCTAGTGGTAACTCAAAGTGTGGAATCGCACTTCACTGTTCATTTTTCTGTGAGTGTAGCAACTTAAGGAGTAGCACAGAGGAAGACAAGCAATGCTTGATAGCAAGAAGACTGCTGTAAGCAGAAAAGGGAAGCTAGAGGTAGTTCAAAGAAAATAAAAGTAAAAGCAAAATAAGAGCTTTCAGATATTTACTCTGGAAGCTGGATTCTTTCGCCTGTTGTGCAGCAGCCACTCAAGTAATTTACCCAAAGAAAAGTACTTTCAGCAATTTTCCACTTTTTCTTCATATATCCATAGCACAGTTGAAAGCCTAGACTGTAGGCTGGAAGACATAAAAAGCCAGCAGTTAGTTGGAAAATAACATAGATACTTGAAGGAAATCTTGCAACAAGCCTTCTGACCTGTACAATTTAGCAGATTCCAGTGTACTTTACCATGTGTTTGCTCCTTCCCCAGGTATAGTGGATACTGAAGAAAAGTGAAGAGCGTTATTTGTGAAGTGAGGCATTGCTCAACACATGAAAAACGGCCCAGGTCTGTGTTATTTCTTTATATTACTTCAGCTTCTGTACTCCAGAATATAATTGTATTCGTAGAACAAATTTTTATTTGAATTTGAGATGATACTTTTCTCTCAGCTTCGTTGACAAACATGTTGTCTGTAATAGCACTTTAACTGTACTTTTTCTCTTTTCTGTGTTTGATGCTTTCTCAGGATTTTCATTAGCTCTTCTCTATCCTTTCCTCTTACTGTAGGAAAATTTGAAATCAACAGTCTTCCCGTAGCTGAATTCTCTCCCACTTTTTTTTACTGTGGTCTGTGACCACAAAAGTGGATTACTGTATCAGTGTATATTACAATTCATATTTTAATATGCCTTTCCTGGAAATCTATCTCCTTACATATGCACTTATAGGAAAGTTCCCGTAAGATCTGAACGTGCAAAACTGCTTTTAGTGTACCTGTATCTGTAACTACTGGTCCAGAAGGAAGTTCTTCCAACACTTGCTAGCACAAAATATAAAAATCTGAATCCCAATAAGCTTGCAGTTCCAATTCAGCTTATACCTCAGCTGTTTAGAGCACCTTCAAACTGAGGAGAAAACAACTTTCTTGGTCATATGTTTAAAATATCAGCAAGACAGTGAGATTTGGACAGCCACTTTGAAGGCAAATAACAAAATGTTAATTTTATGCTTTCTTCAGGTATAATTCAAAGTCCTAGATAAATTCTGTGGTCTCTGAACAACATTCTTATCATCGTCCCAACACAAAGTTCAAACACTTTGACTGCTCTGTGCTCTACACTGGGAAACAGGACAGAGCAGAAAATGGTGTATTCTCAACTAACGGCCTCTTCAGCTGTTCAGGAAGGATTATGGAGAGGTAAGTGATGTCCATTGCCTGGCAGAACCACTCTCCTATGTGTCCTGCAAGATCTGTTTCTCTTACAGTTTATGTTGTCTTCACAGTTACAGGTGTCACGGTTACTTTTCTCTTGGTCTGTATTTTGTATCTGTACCTGTTGATTTTGTTGATACATGTATATATAAATGTATATGCATATTGCAATGGCTTTAAAAAGTACTTTCAAAGATTTAATAGAGCTTCAAATGTCTATAATTCCTCATGGTGGTGCATGAGGTCACCGAGATTGTCTAGCACTGGGTAGCAGCGGGGTTGTTGCTTCTTATGGGGATTTGCTGCCATCATGCCGCCCAAGATTGATGTCCGCATAGGGCCCTACCACATCAGATCCATGATGTTCCATGGGCTGAAATCTGAAATTGGGAGATAAATCTCTTATTGTCTGTAAGAATTATCTGAACTCTGGGATAATACTTAACTTTCACTGAAATGTATAGAATAAAATATAATGGGATTCAAAAGCAAGAAGAGAGAAGTTCAAGCACAGTGGCTTTTAAAAGTCCAGGAAACAATCTTTAAGCTTTTCTCATGGTTGCTTTTCATCAGCCGACACCTGGATCTCACTTAGCCCTAGACCTCTCTGATATTAACAGTTGGCCTTTGCCATTTAGTTGTTCATTTATTCCACCTGCTGTCTAAGAAAAATGCATACAAACCCTTATCTTATATATCAGTCTGAAGGGAATTTCATGTGGGTGCTGGTAAAATTCAAGGAATCCAGAACTATGTTAGGAAATAATTATACTGTCACTGAGAGGTGAGTAGTTTACCAAATGCCAGAAGAATTATTGTTTAGGATTTAAACACGACTGTTTCTACTTCTCTTCAGCACTAGTAGCTTTGAGTAAAACAGGCTAAGAGGTACAAAAGAATTTCCTTAATGTGCAGGCCTGCCTTAGAGCATTTTCAAAGCTATTTTTCTGCTTATGGTGACATACTGAGAGAAATCTTTGCATATAGAATATCACTGAATGAAATTTTTTCAGACAGATCTGATCTGTAAGGTTACATGGGCAGTAATTAATCATACAAATAGCTTCAGTCACTCCATGATCTTTGGCTTCCCACACATTCCAGAAGAGCGGGACAGCAGTAAAAGTAGGTCTACAGCCATCCCTGGGATTAGGTTCCTTTTCCCTTCCCATCCCTGAAAGAAATTACCTCGGCTTTTTCTGCCACTGTGAGGTCTGACAATCTCATGTGCAATTCTCTTGATTCTAATCAATTGGTAAGTGTTGTTTTTCCTCTGGAATGATTTTATGCTTCAAATCAATATGTTATTTGGAATTACTTCTTTACTTGTCTTTGGTCATGCTGTTGGTAGATGAACTGGGAGAGCAGAATTAAAAATAATGCTATTTATTTTTGTCAACTGGCTTGTTGGCTGCTTGTTTAGATGAAGAGAGGAAAGAAAGGTGCTATGGAACAGAGACTTCAACTTTATTGAGGCAAAGATGCATTCACTTAAAGTCATGATGATTCATTGTTTGTAAAAGATCTATTTTTAGCTGGCCTGAATTATATGGAGATTAAAGAGAATCATTAGCATAAAATTCCCCTTGATGCTTCTGCAGTTGGTATAATACTGAAGACTTTGATAAGATTTCTTCAGCCTAGATAACTTTGGTGAATCCCTAAGTGTGCACAAAAGGCTGATTGGTAACCATACAGAAGCTTTTGTGGGTCAGTGATCTATTCCTCTGAGGACAGTGCCACTTTTCATACAGAATGCATTCCAAAATAAAGCTTTTTAAAACTGAAGTGTCGGAAGAAACAAGCAGATGAAAAGGAGGAAGAGTGCATTTACAGCATTGGTGCTGGGTTTTGCTGTTTGCTCTGACGCAAGATGAATGCTTCTTTCACTTCACTGCATCCATCCAGGCCATTACTTCCTGTCACATAAAAATGCATGCAGCTCATGGGACTGCTGCGTGCTGCAGGCTGCAGTGGTGGGGACGATGAGCGCCTAACTTCAGTCACAGATGAGTAGCTGTGTGATCACTGCTCCTTGTGTACCAGCACACCATAGCAACATGACTCTAAAGGCATCTCTTACAATCCCTTGGTTGTTGCAATAAGTGATGAAGGTGGCTGAATAAGTAATTGTCACCAAGCACTTTTCAACTGTGCAGTGCACATTTTGCTGTGTATTACGTTTGTGTAATGATCAACAGTGTTTGACATCCTGGGACAAAATGTCTTTGGAAATTAAGGCCAAAAAGTGCTAACTTTGTGTTTTTGAAGAAAACTAACAGCAAATATAAGAAATAATGTATAAAAACGTAAGCAAATGACCTCCATATTTAACTAGTCCACGGCAAACCTACGTCATATATGTTCCCTTAACACAGTGAAATCTAATTTCTCAGTCTGTCATGAATTTGGCCAATTGGCTTACCCTTAAACTGCTGAGTTAAATCATGGTGACACAGCTACTCTACAAATGTCATCTCTGAAACACCCTTATCCTTTTGTCCTAAAAAGACTCACTCCTCCTTCATGTCCTTACATAAAACAAATTTGCTGGTAGAGGACAAGAATAACAAGAAAAGGGAAATCAAACATACATCAAGAAGAATGTCAAGACATAAGCAATTGTTTTATAAGAGAAGATTTTATGTGAGTTATCATTACACAGAGCTGAGATTCATTGGAAATTTATGTATGTGAAGAGAATACTTAGAATAAATCCATTGCAGTAATTCCTGGTGTTACTGGAGAGACTGTTAAATATGTCTTCACATTATGCAAAGCCAGCAAACAAAATTAAGGGCCACAGCTTTGAGAAGAGTTGTTTATATTATCTGTTAGAGCAAAATGTCACAACATGGAGTCTTCTGGAAAAAGCAAATAGGTCATTAAATCTCAGATGAAAAAGCATGTTTCCAAACTACTGTGGCTCTTTGTCTGCAGCAGTGCTTGTTGGGCTGTGGCTGTGATTTCATGAAGACAATTGGACAGTAGGTTTTAGTGGGACTAAATTTTGTCCCACAATAAGAGAATAAAGGGCTGTTTTGAAGAGTGCTCCATGCATAGAAAGAGACCCACCTGCTGCAAGACAGGTGGTAACCACTGCAGCAGGCATACGAGAACTCATGGCACCTTACTTGGATTACAGGAAAAGGAAAAATGAATCAATAAAGAAGAGCTGATTCAGAGGAGCAACCTCTTGACTTTTTATTGGAGCTTTTGTAAGACTGTGATTAGGTTGTATGCTGGGATAATGGAGATTGCAAATGTTGAACTCATGACATGTGAGCCTCACATGGTTTCCTGCCTGCTATATGCGTGAAAAAATCTAATTGGTGCTAGGATATGACTTCTCATGATCTGTTTTTGTCTTCCATGTTGCTACGTAGTAAAAAGAGCTCATGCTGTTACCAAACTCAAGGAGCTGGTGGGATTGACATTCAGTCCCCAGCGGCTCAACTGTGAAATGCAACACTCTTGGTCTCAGAGAACTTGGAACTATTGAAACAACCTGCCCTCCTATATTAGCTCAGAGAATGGCCGGCTGCCAACAGCAAAACTGAAGTTATTTCAAATCTGTCATCATTTCTAGACTCGAGAAAATTTTAAAATAATATTTGTCCTTTATGCTTGTTTACTGCCATGCTAATGAAAGGGGGGAGTATTACATGTAACTTTTGTAAGAGAGGGGAAAAGAAAAATAAAAGCTTTTATCTGAGCATCAAGTGCTTAGTGTATATGTAGCATTGCACTAAATAGGGTTTTATGGTTTCTAGGCAGTGCCAAGTTGTAATTTCTGTCCAGCAGTAACAGGGAATATTTCCCAGTACTGAATCTTGATTGCCTATGTTGTTTCCTGTTAGAATAGTTCTTGCCTCTTCTGTTTGGCCCGGTCAGAGTTTTTCTCATAGTTTCTTGGACATGAGAGTAGCTGGTTTGGGCCAGGATTCACTCCCAGCAGACAGCTGGGAGCGATCCATTTTTAGAAAGAGATAATTTCATTTTACAAGAGCAGAAAGACCCATGGCTAAGAGGATAGACAATAAACTCTGGTAATAGTTCAGCTAGTTGTGGAAAATTCATGGAAGACATTTTTAAGTGGACTTCAGTGCTCTCCGCAGTTCCCAGAACTGGACAGTTTTCTTCCAATAGGAAGTACAACTCTTAAATCTTGGCTAAAATTGACACCAGTTAGAATGGATAGAGTTACAGAATTTTACAGTCCATAGCATAGAAAAAAAATCCTAAGATTAACATACTGAAATATAGCTGCATTCAGTAAGGAGTGAGGATAAGTAATAGGAAGACAGAAATGAGAAAATTGATCCTTCTAGCTTTTGGAGAACAAGTTGCTGAGGTTTCACATGGCATTAACTTGAGCGTTGTGGAAGCCATTGAAAAAATCATAGCAAGATGGTTCTTTTGAGGAGACCTTTATGGTCGAGAGTTCTGAGGTTAAGTAGCATTTTGTAAGGTTGCATCTGCATGATGCGTGAAAGCAAATGTCACTCATTCTTGGTAGACTGAAATGTGGGTGGTTTCACTGTTGGCATGGGCTGCCTGTTTCAAAAGATTAAAATAAGAGTTCAGTTTTTATATTGAAGCAGTTGGTTTAATAAATATGAGGTGGTGTATGTGATTAGCTTCCCAGAATCTCCCAGGAGAACTGGAGTGAGATGTAAACACATAGCAGACATTAGTGATGTCCCAAGAATACATCAAACTGCTATCGCTCAGCAAAAGTAGATTTTCACTGTACTGAGATAAACAGGTTTTACTACAAAGTTATGACAGATATCTTGCAAGTAAGAGGGGACTCTGCTTCTGAGGCTTTTGTTAGGACAGGCATTTGGAATGTCATAAATAAAATGGTTAATATTTCATAATCATATTCATTCACAAGATTTTAATCTGCTTTTGAAGAGTTTGCAGGATTGCTGCTGTCTAGATTTCTGCATGTTTCACGTGATATACTAACTGCTTCTTTGCAGCGTCATGTGGAATCCCTTCCTACTTTTAGTTAATTAAAAGTGTTCTAAAATCCTTAGATTTCTTTTGATAAGCACTTTCCGTAGCTATGTTCTTAAAAAGCAAATAATATCTGGCTGATGTTTTTAAAATCAGTTTGTAAAATGTATTGTGCATATGACATTGGCCCTACATGTGTAAGGGTTGTATGGGGCAGGAAGCTGGCTGAATGCTATGCTAAAAAGAAAACAGCTCATTCTTTGCATAAAAAGGGGGGAAAAGAAGACTGAAGTACTTCGACACTAAAATTATCTGAATTTTATCTCTGAATGATGTAACACTGAGCTCATGAGAATCAGATAAAATACAGATGAAGAGGCAAGAGTCCAGCTAACAGTTTTGCTGTTCACTTATTCGTAAGAAAAATGGTGATAAAATAAGAATCTTCTGAAGTCTAGGCAAGGTAAAACGAATTGAGGCAATGATTAAAATAAATATTTCTACCTATTAAAGCCTGTTGCTGGTAACAACAGAAGTTTAGTAATAGAAATATTTGTAGATTTACATTTCGTTGTTTACTTACATATTTTAATGAAGAAGCTACTTATTTCTTGTATGTCACTGTCACTGTGATTCATTTTGCTCTGTCCTAATTGTTTATTAAGAAGTTGACAAGCAGCAGCTGGGAAAAAGTCATGAAGTTTCAAAGAACCTACTGATGCCATCTGAAATCTAAGAACAAGTTGTTGCTGAGTTCAGAAGATACTGAATCCTAAAATGGTAAGGGGGACACAGATGTTTTTATCTCTGCTTTGCTAAGAAGTCATTCTTTCTTTGTGCTTTAGCTGTAAATTACTAAATGATACTCTACTGATACTTTAGAACATGTGAACATCCTTTCACAGCCTATTTGCATGAACCCGAGTTAAATAATTGTTTGAATCTGATTTAAAAACCTGGAGCAAATAATTGTGGTAAATTCAAACTGTTGGAACTACAGTGGGTACATTTGCTTGTCAGTTGATTCACATACAATTTTGCCCCACAAAGTTCTAGTCTGAAACTATAAGAGGGTCTCTTTATGATCTTCTGTACAGATACAGTTGTCCTTCTCTTTTCACAATGGAAGACTTGTTCAAATGAAAGCTATCCAAAAAGATATTTTAACTTCACAGATGCTAGATCCAATAGCATACTTGCACAAGGCACTGAATTACATATATTCATAGCTGGGGATCTGCAGAAAGCCATAGAAGTAGGGCATTGAATACACAGAAAGGAAAAGCTGTACGGGTCACTCAGCCTGGTACTTATATTTAAAATTAGAAGAAATTCATGTTACTGCTTGATATTCTTGCTGGGAGGAAAAAAAAAAAAAAAAAAAAGCAGTAAGTCTTTTTTATGCACAATTATAAGAAATTTGCTCATGTTTCCCCAGCGCAGCATTAGACCACCATTACAGTTTGAGCTGGTCTGGTACTTGTAATCCTGATGCTGGTACTTGGTAATCTGGTACTTTTGTTGCAGCCAGCTCAAAGAAAATGAAGTCTCTGAGTAGGAATGTACTGTGTGTCAAATGTAAAATTTGGAGAATGGAAACTTTCCGTTTATCCTGTCTCCTTCACCAGGGACACAGAGCAAATATGTTCTGCTGTATGGTCCTCCTAGAAGCTGCCATAACCACCTCACAGGTCCAGTAAGTGAGGCTCAGTCCTCTCAGTCTTCTTCTCTGGTGTTTGTAGGAGCATTCTCACTGTGCTAATGGCAGCTTGGCATGGCAGAAGCATATCACCTGTGTATGTTACTTTTCAAAGATCAGTCTTTGAACTGGGGTAGTCACAAAGGCCCAATAGGAAATCACTTCCTCACCCAGTAAACCAGCAGTGCTCTTGTCCAGACAGCAGCAGTGACAGCGAGTTGATTCTGTATTTTCTCACCAGGGGGATAGGAAAGCAATCTGCATGTGTACCACAGAAGGATGTGCAGCAATGGCAAGGTTAAGCCAGTGTCCTAAATCTATAGCAGCTCTGAAGGTGGAGTGAAAGACTTGGCTGAACTGGCCTCTTTTTAGGGGACTGGGCTGGCTCTGTCAACCTCACACAACCTCCAAGCTGCACATTGAGTTTTTGCTGACTGTAAGTTGTTACGATTTTTGTTGACTACATAATCAGGTCTAAACAGTGGCTTCTGCATTATAGTGTGCACTGGTGCCATGCAGAGATTTAGGGGTAAGAGTCACAGCAGTTGGCTTTCCACTTGGTGTTTTCCATCAACTGACATTGTTGATTTATTTATTTAGTTTTTCTAAGAAATAGTTGATCTAAGAAATTGTTGGTCTAAGAAATGATTGATCTAATGATACCAGTCGTAAGTAAAGCTTAATGACGCAAAGATACAGCATAAAGACATGGGTACAAGCCAAGTGTATAGTGTAATGTTAGTGTATAATTTATTTATTGGAGAAGAACAATAAGGTAATTTTATTAAAGCAGTCGTAAGAAGGAAATCTCTAGCTCTTAATACAAAAATTCTATGATGGGAATTGGGGTCAGATGATAATTATTAAGATAGTTGGCATTGCGGATATGTCTTGCATATGATGCTGAATGGAAGTTTCTTTCATAGCAGTTTATTTTACAAGCTAATACTGCATAGCGTGGAATGACACAATTAATTATACTTAATGAAGAATAGCATGAGGCTACCCAGTTGGTTTTATGATAATTTGCCTAGAAGATGATGAAAGATTTCTTTGTCCATTTCCAAGTGTCAGCTTTTAGAAATGGTTGATTTTGTTGTCATTCGTTTACAGAAAAACCGTGGACTTTCTTGTGTATGTGAAATGATTTTTCCACATTTAATACGACAGTATTGTGAGATATCTGTACACCTTTGCCTTTTTAAATTTTAGGGATATTAATATACTTTTATGTAGACGATTTACATTTTTGATCATTTGGTACCAGTCTACCCTTTTTCTGAAACAGCAAATTAGTATTTATAAAGCACTGTCTGCAGGCAAGGACTTTCTTGGGTGGCAAGATCGAAGTTGCATTGAAATGATGTTTTATGTGTGTTATTTTTAGAAAACCTGTTTATGTATAGGGAGCACATAGACCATGTTCTGCTGCTAAAAGTTTTGTGGTGTGTGACTGTGTCACATTTTAAACCCTCTGAGTTCTTTTTTATGACAGTGATAAACAAATATTGTGATCACAGAATCAAAGAACTGTAGGGATTGGAAGGGACCTCAAGATATCATTGAGTCCAACCCTGTTGATGATGGTCATGATGAGTATCAGTACATTGCTTCCTGGTTGCACAAGAGTAATAGCCTGTTGTAAAGATCTCCAGACATCTGGAAGTTTGTTCTTTTCTTTCAGAGCTTTTCTGTATAGTCTGTGTGTGTGTCTGCATTAATTTAAGGCAGCTGGACGGGTCGAATGTACCACTTTTCTGTACATCAGATGCTGTGAAACATTTGGAAATTTCAGCATAGTTCTTTGCTCACTATTGACTCTAAAATAGGTGTATATGTGTGTGTTACAACAACAAAAATGCTTCAGGGAATGACACATTCTGGTGCAAAATATTCTCCTTTTTTGTGTGATGATTTCAAACCTTCATCAAATGAATACTGGTTATTTGTTATTTCCAGAATGTTGGTAGTTAGCCCAGCTTTTCTTGCCCTAGCAGTTATTATTTCTATATTATTATCATTGCATTTACCTTTCCAGCAGAGATTAGAGAATTCCTGCTTTCACTTTCACTGTAACACATGATTCAGGTACTTGTATTCTTTCTTCAGTAAATTCTTGATGTTCACACCATTAAAGACAGTTAATGGTCCCTGTCCGTTATCTCTGCATATGGCAAATCACACTGGGCTGCTGTTCCAGTTTCTAATTTGGTTCAAGACAGCTTGAAGTCTATTAGGGGTAGAAGTGGTAGCATTAAGTAACTAATACATTCATTTCAAACTGTGTAATTAACTACACTTTAATTCTGTTTGATTATTGGGCAGCACAGAGTATCTGAAAGACGTTAAACTCTTTCTATGACAAGTTTCTTTCTGAATGTATTCTGAGGACAGATCTATTAAGATTTTATGCCCACTCACATTCTGGCTTTGCGTATTTCTATTTTTTTTTTCAAGCCAGAAACAAACCTACAGCTTCTATATAATAAACTTCTGCACACTTAAATGCTGCAATTTTAATGGACCCACAAGTTATTGCATGCGTTTTTAGCTCACTGTTACGGCAAAAATGCAGTCTTTAGCAGATTTGCATTCCACTTTGTTGCTTTCTTTCTCACAACAAATCTCATCTCACTTGAGTTTAGTTCTAAGTACACCTGTTACTACTACTTCTTTAAAATGGTTGCAGCAGCCTAGAACACAGATCAAGATGAAATCCCATCTACTGTGTTTCATAATAAAAGGATATCGTGTGCCTGGAGTCCAGGATATCAGAAGAATAATTTGAGAGAAGGTTGATGAAGTAACAATAGACTACTGAAAACAGAGAGCTTTTTTTTTAAAAAAAAAACAAAAAAACAAAAAAACAAAAAAAACAAAAACTGGGATTTTTGCTCTGATTTGACTTGGATTCTTTTCCTCTCTTGGTTTTTTGTTTTTTTTGTTTTGTTTTGTTTTTTGTTTTGTTTTTTTTCAGGGTAAAGTAACAAATGCGATAGTTTGTAGGCAAAAAGAAAGCAAGAAAAGTAAAATAAGTATTTCCTTAGAGAGAGTGTTTCCTAAAAGAGAACAGTGCAGTCAATCAACCAGCAGCATCCCATGCTTTTGCCACCAGCCTGACCATCATTAAATGAAAGTTGAAGCTTCAGAGTAGGACTTAGTGGTGAGGGAGGACATGAAAAAGGTTAAGGGCTGCTAGTTTGTTTTCTGCAGAGAGGGTGTTCATGTTGGTAGGGAAGAAAGTACACAGAAGCCTGAGGGAAAGCAGAAAAGGAGCTAGCAGAACCTGGTATCACTGAGAAAATAGAGGTGAGCTGCCGTGTGAACACTGGAGAAGAGCTGATTCCCAAAGCAAAGGATTGATGACAAGGCTATTGATTCCTATGGCTTTGCAACAAATCATACAGGCTGCATTGTGAAACACTGCTTGTTCTTCCCTGGTCTGGCTGAAAATACCCACATGACTGCCTGTGTCTTTTTCACATCTGAGAATTGTTTTTGGAAGATATTTTGCAAATATGGGTATACTTATTTTGATGTTCAGAGATTAACTGCTGCTTACAACAGTTAATAGCCACTCACACGTGTGGCCATGGAGGCACTGAGAAGAGACAAGGTGGCTCTTGGTACCACTTTGCTGCCTCCTGCTCAGGTGACTTGGCTCTGATTGTTCAGCACAGTCACTCAGCTCTTGCTCTCCTCTACACTCCTCCTTCATAAGTTTGGAAGTTTAAAAATTTTATCAACTTCATCTTTCTTTGCCCTATCACAGGGATTTCATCAGAAAGCAAAACAGCCCATCTCTGGGCAGATTTTCATTTTCTTTCACCAGTATTAACATATGTATTATATTAGATTATTGGTGTACTAATTTGTAGAAGTGCAGTACTAGCAGTAAAGACTTCAGTATTCCTCAAAATTGATGTTTTCATTCTAAAAAAGTAGTCTTGGAAAACAAGCAAATGAGACAGGATGAGACAAACATGTAACACGCTGAAGAACTAGCATGGGCATGTTTTTCATTTGTCATCCTGGGTTCTCTTTTTTTGCACTGTACTAAATGACCGTAGGCTATCTCTGA